TCTCTCTCTCTCTTTCTCTCTCTCTTCTCTTCTCTCTCTCACTCTCTCTCTCACTCTCTCTCTCTCTCTCTCTCGCTCTCTCTCTCTCTTTCTCTCTCTCAATTGGCACCTTTAATCTACGGCACTTATTTGACTTATTTGTGTTGCAAGTGACGTCAAAATTTTACTAAAACTGAGACCAACTAAAACTGACATATAGGCATGCACACCGCATACTGAACATTCACATACCTTTCAAAAACTTGCAGGCTTACACAGTTATAGAGTTATATTATTAGTATTACTATGCATCCATACTCAGGTACGATATATAAAGGTATGGAGCAAGCACAGTTGCAGCTCCGTGGTATAAGTATAAACTCATTGAGGGTTCACATTCTGGTCAATCAACAAAGCTTGGTGATGCGCTGTTTTGGGACCTTTTACTTTTAAATAAGAGGCATAGCTTCGTTATTCGTACGGGGGGTTTTTTCAGTTCTGTTTTCTTTCCCGGAATCTGAAAAAGGCAGGCAACAACATCCATACTCTGAAATAAACATATTCGTGTTTCTGATCTGTGTTTGATGGTACAAAATGAGTTGCACAGTTGCCTTTTGTCTACAGCTGATCGGACATATTGTGTGTCCCTTACGTCCTTAAAGAGTTAAATGGTACAGGCATGCCCTGTTACGGTAAATCGGTTGTATAAACCTGCTGAAACGATCTTGCCAACATAAAGTTTGCTTTGTTATACGACAGCCAAACTCGTCAGGTAAGGCAAGCGTTCGATCTTGTGTCTGCTTTGCCCTTGGCGGGAATGGAAAGTCTGCGTCGTAACAAAAGAAAGCAATGTCTGGCGTCTGAGATTACGGTATCTCGAGTCCACTCCTCTGTCTGCTCCACCGGTCAAGGACCTCTCTGTCTGTCTCTCCACGTTTCTCCTTATTCTTGCACTGTGTCTCCTTTTCTCTTTCTCTGTTTTTCTTTTGGGGTGTTTTTATCTGAATGTTAATCTGGTTTTTCGTCTGTTGCTCCTCTCTATTCATTTTCTGTTTGAATTTTGCTTCGTCTTTTTCAACATCCTCAACTGTGCGTCCTAAGACGCCATTTTCACCCCAGTACCTC